TTTTAGGGAGGCTTCAGCCTCCCTAAAAATGTCTTTAGCCCCCCTAAATAATTTCATTGCATTATTTTTAAAAAAGTATTATTTATTTTTCCTTTACTTTTGCTAATATATTGCATCAAATTCAATGTAATGTGGCCATTTTAAATTATATTTCGATAACCTGCCATTATTGTAATGTTAATCTCCCAGGTTTCCTGAACGCAACAGGTGTTGCGTTAGCATTTGACGTGTCTGTCACCATCGCCACATCAAATGCTAACGCAACAACTGACAGTTCATTGCCGAAAGTTAGGTTGAGTCGACAGCATGGATATTCGACAGTTTTTTAGAAAGGTAAATTAAGTATTCAATGCATCCATGCTGGTAAAACTAGTGACTATAGTCCGCTAAAATATCTCCAGTAACAGCAGAAACTGCACTGTAACAAGTGTTCACTTTTGGATAAATTAAGGTGGTGCTTAATAAAAATTAAGCAACATTTTATTATTAAATACATAAATAATCATTACACCAACTCTTTGAGGCAACACCTATTGAGATTTTGGCCTATATAAAATAAATAAAGAAATATAAAATAAATAAATGTATTTATTTGATAGGAATCAGGCTAAAGACGCACAGAGAGTGAGCCGGCTCACTCAAGGCTAATTTTACTTGCAAGGCTGTTCCCAAAATGCAATCGGAGCTTACAGTAAGTATTGAGCAGCAAACTTGTGTTTTTCCAAAGTGATGAAGCTTTTGCATCTCATTGTACTAACTTAAATTGCATATCACGGCAGACATCTCAAAATACATCATCTTCTGGCGGCTAAGCATATATTAATACATTTTGGTAGAGAGGAATATAGGCCTACTGTCATATAGGTTATGTTATCGGGCATCCTTCTAATTCCCTTGAACAACCAAGATTGAACTTTTGAACTCTTTGTAATTTCTATTATCTAGTCCAGTTAAAGTCCAGGGGAGGAAGCCCCATCATAGTAAAGAGGATACTAATGTGATGTGTGTAGTTCTTCATAGCCTCTTCATTTTGCTCTCAAAGTGCACGGAATTGATGGATTTTTAACAGAATGTAGAAAAAAATTCTCCCGGGGGGGCATGCCCCCGGACCCCCCTAAAGGGGCTGTGTTCCCCTTGGGGCTAAGCCCTCCTTGTTCTTCAAACCTAGTGACGCCCCTGCTGAACGATGAGAACGTGCTGGTTGATCGTCTGGCCCACGTTGAAAGGGAAAACTCGTAGTTTGGATTCTAAATAATATCATATGGCTGTTTTGTTCTCATGAAGGGGCTAGTGCAGTGGTTCTTAACCTGGGTTTGATCGAACCCCAGGGGTTGGGCGAATCGGTCTCAGGGGTTCGACGGAGCCTCTGCCATGGAGGGTAAGACTCACGCGACTCAACATGTCATTTAGTGATGACATGCCCGCTTGGCCATCACTGGCTGCAGATGATCACATTACATTGCTTGTCCAATCAGTGCTGCGGGAAATTTAGTTTGCTCAGCAGTCAACGTGACTGTCGTGATCGTACGTCATGTGATTTAAAAAAAAAAAAAAAGTTTTAAAATACATGCTAACTATGTTGAGCAAAAAACAGAAAGTGGTCAGACGAATATGTACAACATGGATTCACATGCTTCACGGCCCGTGATGGGACTCAGTGTCCTATCTGCATGATTTGTCATGCCAAGTTGAGCAGCTCCAGTCTCGTACCGGCAAAACTGAAGGAACACTTCTCGGATCATATTTTTATTTTTCACTAATCGTTCGGTGGATGCGAATATGAATGGTTGGGTTCGTTACCTCTAACAAGGTTAAGAACCACTGGGCTAGTGTGAGGCCCAACCACAAACCCAACAATCATATTAGTGTTGCCATGCTGACTTGTGGATTTATGTCCTGATGAAATTGTAATTGCCAATGTTCCGCACCCAATTACGTGGACCTCAGTATGTCAGAGAGAAGATTTTGTTTTAGTCGTGAACACTGATTAAATTATTGGTACATCAATCTGCATCATTAGTATCAGAAATTTGGTGTTTATTAGTTTTTACAGAAAAAAATGGGAACATCAGCAACATTTAAAAAACATTTCATTTCATATTACAATGTGCTGTTCCAGTATAAAACAATATTCTAACGTCTGTGGTCAAATTAAACCCTTTGCATAAGATATCAATTAAATTATCAAGTAAATTATTGAAAGGTTCAGTCCAATCTGAGCACAACAGCCTCAAAATCATAGTTACAGTAGTCGGCTCCCCTTTCCCTGGGAAAAAAAAAAAAAGCTTATAGTTCGATAAATTAGCACCATGTGTTCTGGATAAGCACCAGTACAATTATGTGCGCACCAATAAAAATAACATTTCACTGCTATCAAGAAAAGCTGGCGTGTCAATTTTAATTTAAGGTCCATCAGAACCAGCTCTTTTGGGACAGAAAGTGAAAGAATGCGATAGACATACAAAAACGTTTCGATATACACATTGCAAAACACCAGCTCGTTAAAAGTTATTCATTCATTTCTTCATTATTTCTATGCTGTCTGTTTGTGGAATATAGTTGACATAAATTTCTGTCCTGGGTCTTGTCAAAGCCAATCACCATCACTACAGTGAGAACTCGCAAGATGGCAAGTCTCTCTCAAAGACATTTAGACAAGTCGATGCACTTTTTGAAAATATATCCGACAAAGTGAAACGTGGACAAAAATCTAAAGCACAACTGCAGATCAGAGTGATCTGTAAACAATTCAAATATATATGTTTTTCTCAGTTTTTTTTTCAAATAAATTAGAAAAGCCACAGTTCTCATGATGTGTTACGGAGTTCCTGTTGTTGTCAACACTGAGTCTGTACGGCTGTGTGGTGTGTGTTTGGAGATGAGTGTGGTGGGAGGCACAGGCAGGAAGCGAGACAGGCTTCATGTTGGTGATGGGGCGGGCGGGGGGGAGGAGGAGACTGGGTGACCTTTGCTTTTAAGGAAGTGGATCTGGCCGGTATCCCGTCGGACTCTGTGTTGTCTCAGGACACCTGGCACTCACTCGAGTCCCCGTGGACCCAGTAGCAGATTTGGGCGTATTTGAGAGGCGTGATCCTCACTGCAACGTTGTAATCCTGCTGCAGCCCATTGCCGTTAACATCCACCCACTGATGACCAGAGAAAACCCCGATGATCTTTCTCTTCCACTTCTTCTTGCCAGGCTCTTTGAGACGGATGTAGACCCCTGAACCACTGGAGCCTGGCTTGGCATCGCAGTACTGGTACAACAAATCATTGGACTCCTCAGACACTGAGCAGAACCTGTAGACCAAGTTCCCCGGCCGGTCATCATCAAAACCGGAGAAGTGGATTCTTCCTGCGGGAAGCTTCTTGACTGAGGGGATGACACCCAGATCCATGTGCTTCACTTTGGGCGCTCGCTTCAGCTCCAGAACCGCATAGTCATAATCGGCAGTCAGTCCATCAGACACACCTTTGAACCAACCCTTCGGCACTTGAGTTTTCTTGACCCGGGTCCACCTGAATGAGGGTTTCTCCACTTGTGTGGCGCTGCGGCGACTCCGGTTCTTTCTCCCCTTTGCTTCCTTTCCTTTACGGCCCCCTGCCTTCTCTTCCACTTGCTTTACTTCTTCTTTGGCGCCATCTCCCTTTCTCTTTTTGCCTTTGCCTCGCCCTCCTTTCCCTTTCCCTCCTTTCCCCCTTCTGGATTTCTCCTTAAGAATACCGACGCGAAGCTTCTGAACGCCGTCCAAATAATCCTTTCCATCATGGATGCAGTGGGCCGCCGTCAACACGTGTTTGGGTGACACCAGAACTCCGGAGCATCCCGTGGAGATCTTGACAGTAGTGGAGAAGGGATACTTAGTGGAGAACTGCTTATCGGAAATAGTGAAGCGGGTGTCCGTACCGTACACCTCTCTTTTGTGACGGGACCTAGAGGAGTCGTTTCTGGACCAGGCAGTCACCTCGTTGAGACCTTGCACAGACACTGAGGTATACGTGCGCGAGCCATTCTCATAAACCGTCTCGTAGGATAGGAGCTGCTCCAGGTCGTTCAGGGACGGCGAGGGGAGAGCACGTTGACACTCGATCCCGCACGTTCCGCTCACCTCTACTTTAGGATGAGCTGAGAAGTTGGGACTGGTCAGAGGCAGAGTGCGCCTCTTCCTTACCAGGGGCAAATTCCACTGAGGCCAAGTGTACTCGTCGTCAACCGTTGCAGTCAGCTCGGCAGCAACAGCCGCCATAACCGACACCGTCATTGGGAGCAGCACACATAGGTGTAGAGGGCCCATTGTGAATTGGGCCTGGCTCTGAAAATGAAACAAAGGAATGAATGGTTATAATGTTGAAAGATTCATCAGTATCAGCCACGGCATACTCTATGTACAGTGGTACCTTGATGACTCGTGACTTATGAGTTTTTAATTTAACATCACGAAAGCTTACCAAAATTTGAGTTACGAGCAAAATATGGATACGCTGCCACCCGAGTAAAACTGAAGTAGCGTCACAGCCGTTTATAGATAAGTGTAGGAGTGTACGTACATAAAGGTCACCAAGTTGATTGTCACATTGCATCTGTTCACACGTATGTAGAATGTACTCATCAGGTGTGCAAGTAGACAGAAGGAGCGCCGTCGTTTTTTTTTACCGTGAGTTCGCCATGTTTGTTTGTTTCATGTTTTGAAATGATAGAACATTTAATGTCACTCTTTGATAATCAATAATGCACAAAAGCAACGATGAAGGCCTTATTTCACACATTCGACTAAGCGTGTCAGACCACTCTTCCTGTCAGTACAAAGGAAGGCCAAATCTCACGTCCAATTTCAATTAATTTCAATGGGCAATATTGATAAAAAAATTTTTTTTAAAAAGAGTAGATTGAGTGAGGAGGTTGGTTACAATAGATTTTACCACTCTACTGTATATAACAACAAATTTCTTCACTATTATTGTCATTACCCGGCCTAATTTCTGCTGGATTGAACCATGGGGTCACTTTGGGAAGGAGTTAGCTGCTATCTATAAATGCTACAGTTGGTCAGACACTTCCACTGACCTTTTTGAATTGCAACGAGAGAAGCACACTTTTGATATGCGCAGGAGATCATATTCAGGAAAATACACATGGAGCAATTAATGTGGAATATTGGTACACCAGCTACAAATATTGCTTTGTTTCACAAAGTATGCTTTCTGTCAGTCACATGGAATTCTCACTTGTGCTTTCTCTCACACAATACCGGTACATTGCTATTGTAATTGCTACATGTAACATAAAGAATCCTGGTGTTCTGTTTTTCAGGGGCTGCAAAAGGTTAAGTTGTACTTCCATTCATTTCAGTGGGGAAAGTTGATTTGAGATCAAAGTGATCGGAGTTATCAGCATGGTGATGGAACAAATTAAACTCGTAAGTCAAACTACCACTGTATAAATACTGTTTTTCCAGTATTTCTTATGGAGACCATTAATTGGGAATCCAAACAAATTGAAAGTCGGACAGACTGTTTTCAGGCTGATGGAGTGCTGTCAAGGACAAGCTTTATTCACAGCAAGATAATGGTAGTCCAAAAATTACTTAAATTTGAGGAAAGGCATAACGTTTGTTCAATGTTATCCTTTCATATTTTGTTAATATGTTGTTTAAAACAGATATTGCAATCCATCCACTTTCCCCAGGATGGTGCTTTGCCGATGTTAGAGGGTGATGTAGCCCTGTCTGTGTAGCCCAATTAAGACCCTCCAGCATTTTATTTTATTTTTAAAATAGATTTATATTTTTTTTCTCAGCGCCCTTACATATTTTTCAAGCCCTCTTTAGCACCAGAAAAGGGAGTGAGAAAAAAATGGAGCTTTGCTTGTATTTTATTGAGGAATATTTGATGGCTGCGTGGCAGGTGGGCCCCATTCCCACTGAATTTGGGTGAGAGTTGTTGTATACGCTGGACTTGTTCCCAGTTTTATCTACTGTATATGTTGCACTGAAATGTTATAAATGAATCCTGCAGATTTTGTCTATCCATTGCTGTTACCATCAATTTGAAATCTGTGTCGATATTTGACACGTACTTTAGTTCAGATTTGTTATCATTTGAATTTGGAGAAACACTATTTGCAAGTTTCTGTCATGCTTGGGCAGACAGATCCTTGTTTGGTCATCCATCACCTGAGCAAATGAGTAACTTGTGTATAAAACTAAACACAAAATATTTATCAGCAGCAATCAGGCAACCAAAAAAACGTGAGCACATACTTTGGTCTCGTTAAGTGCACTTAAATCAAATTGTGACACGGGGATTTCACTAATACACAGGAAGTAAGTTAGCTAGCAACTACACCGACAGTACCAGAAATATGCCGTTCAGTTTCCCTTTCTCTTGACGAGGGTGTATGACAAGGCTTTCTTTGGAATTTGGAAGACCTTAACTCAGTTCCATCTCTGGCCAGAGGGAGGCAGTGTGTATCAAAGTTCCACATCACCTCCAGTTTATGCACAGCAACCGCGGCACACTAGTTCGGCAGCACACCCATTTCTCCGAGCTTTTCTGCAAGTCTGCACGAAATAATTGGTCGCATTATTCATGGTCTATGGATACACTGGCCCCACTAGCTAAGTTGTTGCATCAGCTCTATGGCGAAGAGATTTATACGGAGATAGAGTCGCAGCTGTGGTTAACATTGAGGTAAGGAGGAACCACGATTCTCAGAATGAGCTCAAGACAGTGGCTTGGAGGTTTGCCACAATGGTTAACCTTCTCTTTTAGTTATGACCACGTCTGGTTTCCTCAGTACCGCTCTTCTCCCGTGTCAAAAAATGACAGGACACGTGTGCATCCTACGCAATTATGGCTCTTGGTATGGCACTAATACAACCATTTTCCTGATAACCCAATAAAAAAAAGTATGTTAATACAGTTAACTCCATCCAGCAGAGTTTAACTGCAAAGTCGGAAAAATGTCATTCCGTCAGCTCCGCTGTGGTCATGAAGTCACACAGACAACTTCCAAACAGATGAGGGGTAAGTCGTTTGGATGTTTCTGCAGACAGTCTGATAGCTGCACTTTCCAGTTGGAGGATAAACCTCCGGCGGTGTGCGGTATGGTGTGGGTTGGGGGGGCTCCGAGGAGGGGGGCTGGAACAGGCAGCTTCCAAAGACACATTCCTTTTTAGTTGTAGGGAAATGCAGTATTACAGTGAGCTGCAACTCAGAAGTACAGAACCTCTAATGTATTTGGATGTCCAATTTGTTTTCTCCCACGACAAATACGAGAAATAGAATTCATCTGTTGTGGGGCTTTAACCTTCAATATCATAACACTCGTAAAGACTGCACTGTTAAGGACTGGAGTAACATTTTGCCATGGTTAATGGTGCAAAAATAAGTTGTACAGCTAAGCGTGAAAACATCAATAAATCGTGTAGCAGCCGCAGTACTGTTAAGTTGCTGCACCACTGAGGGTGATAACTCCTCAAGTCATTTTTACTGCCTTCACCATTTTGCTTGACATCACTGAGACTCCAGTACAGTATAGGCATAGACCAACTCAAAAAAATGCAGAAAACACTTTGAAAACGGTAAAAGTAAAATGACCTCAACTTGAAGACTTGGCTGACGTGGAGCACAGAACCTTTTAAAGTCGGAGCCAAGATAATCTGCCAAAAACAAAGGATAATAAAACAAGCCCCCGAGAGTTGCACAACAGCCTAAATAATTGAGACTAAAATGCCCTTTGGTGTCTGTTCAACTTCACACTTCAGAAAAAACACACTGGAAAGTCTGCAATAACTCACCAGGGTGGAAAGTGACTGATATACTGCCACCATGGCACTTAGTCACACGAAGCCCTCAAATTGGAGTTCAGTCATTTTCCACCCAAGTGAGTGTATGCCAGGGGTGTCAAACATACGGCCCGCGGGCCGGAACCGGCCCGCAAGTAGGTTCAATCAGGCCCACAGGATAATGTAAAAGTGAAAAAAATGCATTAAAGACACAGAATTAATATTTTTAATCAGGTGCAATTCATTGAGTATCCGCAAGGGGACACTGTTTTGATCAGAGAAGAAGACAACAGCAGCCTCAGTCTGTCACTGAGACAGACCCATGACAGCAGACGCTATCAATAGCACTCTCACATTTACACATTTAATAGCACTCTCCTTAGTTTGTAAGGTGTAGGCAGGGATTACATTTAGATTTTATATGCACGTGTAAATGCTTTAAAACTTGCTTTCTTTATGAATCTTGTTTAATCTTAAAGTGCATTACTATATTTTTCAATACCAATTACTTGTTAAAGTTTGTACAATCAGTGGGATCAGTTGCAATGCATATATGTGAATGATAAAAGTAAATTGCACATTTGTCGAAGGAAATGTAAGGTGCTTCATGAAATGTTTTGTAAAAGATATGTTCATTAAATTTCAACATTTTCCTAATGTTCTTGTGCTTCTTTATACCAAAACAAAGGAAAGACATATTGTTTTGGTTATTTATAGCAAAGTATTGTATCATTTTAATGGTCCGGCCCACTTGACATCTACCGAGGCCGTATGTGGCCCACCATGTGAAATGAGTTTGACACCCCTGGTGTATGCCCTCTCCATCCGCCTCACGCTTGATGGCCGACAGGGGGCGTAAGCGTCCCCGGACTTTTCAAAGCGGCGGTCACCCAGCGATTATCATCGAGTAAGTAGTTCAGCAATTTATCGCAAGCGATTTTTTTTTGACCCGACCTGACCACTTACCTCAACTTAAAAAAATGTAAGATGATCTTGACCTTTTACATAATAGGCAAACTAAAATATATGTTGAAACATATTATATGAAATCAAATAAAAATCTGCAAGATACTGTATTCAGTTTTTTTGTCAGATGTGATTTTTTTTTTCACAACTGACAAACTTTGCAGCACTGATTAAATGTTGCAGTCATTATATTGTCATACAAAACATCAGAAATGGATTCTATAAATAATGAAATGGTACTTCTACAGAATTATTAAATCTCTCAAACAACTACCCATTCAAAGGAAATTGAAACAACTCACATTACATAAAAGTAGTTTAAATGAAAGAATACATTGATTTTAAATACATATATCCCAAACCAAACAAGATGGTTCCTTCACGAGGAGGAACATTTAATAGTAGTCCTACCTGCTTGCATCCGATTGATGGATATGACAAATCCACAATATCTTGTTAGTTTTTCCTAAAAGATGCACAAAGGATGTCCTTTTAAAAAAACAAACGTTTGTTACTTCATCCCAGACGTCCAGGCATCAACAGGCTCCTCTCTCCTCATTGCTCATTCTAAGTGGCTGCAGAGAAAGTTGAAAGCACTTGATGCTGAGGAGGGAGGCAAGAAGGAGGGGGATTTTGAGGCAAGCACAATCTGAAAAAGAGACTTTTTCCCTGCCCTCTCTCCGGCAACAAAGCCTTCTGCTCGCGTGGGTGGGGCTAGAGCAAGTGTCCAAACAAGTCACGGCGTTGTATTCAGCAGAAGCCACACAGCACAGGAGACGAGATGGTGTGCGGCCTGCGCAACGAGGCACAAAACAGGAGTATAATCGAGCCTCATTCTGGCTGTGGGACTCTACAGGAATTAGTTCCACTGGTCTCACAACAATAGCGATGGGGCGCTACGGATCTGAATTCCTACATTCTCAACATCTGCAACACTTTTCCCCCCTAAATGAAGTGATACAATTGTGCGGACAGAAATGCACTCAGATTAAATCTACTTGTCCATTGAAATATCCAACCTTATTATTCAGTAAGTCTGCACAAATTGCTGCTGATGAAGAATACAGAGTAACTTATTTAAAACAATCCTGAGTGCCTGTTGTCACTTTCTCGCTGTACAATCCTCCAAATAAGAAGCAACATGTGCTTGCTAAAAGCTTTAATTTAGCACTCGCATTTAAAGTTTATTCTAAACACATCAACGTGGTCTAAAAGCATATAAAAGGTTTAAAAAAAACTTTCAAAAATTCATCCATCCATCCATTTTTTGATTTGCTTATCCTCCCAAGGGTCGTGGCCGAACTGGTTGCCAGCAAATTGGAGGGCACGCATAGACAAACAACCATTTGCGCTCACACTCACACCGAAGGACAATTTGGAGTGATCCATCAACCTGCCTTGCATATTTTTGGAATGTGGGAGAAAACCGGAGTACCCGAAGAAAACCCACGCAGGCACGGGGAAAACAAGTAAACTACACACAGGTAGCTGGAATCGAACCCTGCACCTCTGCACTGTGAGGTCGACGCGCTAACTGGTCGACCACCGTACTGCCCCCATGCAAATTGTTATCAATAATTTTGCATTTGTTTAAAATGATACGGAAAGTGGATGCATGGATCACCGTTGGGACCATACATTTAAACTTTTTCTTCTCCGGTTCTTGCTGATAAATGACGAAAGGTGTGCAGTAAACAAAAGAGAAAATAGAAGCCAACCAAGTTTTTGCACGATGGAGGAGTCATTTTTCTGTGTTGTCCTAACTTGGTGACATACACGAATGTTCAATGGGACTTGGTGAGTTTCAGAATTGCAATGAATATTTTATTTTAAAAATTATGGATGTAAATGGAGAAACGGTGCTTAATTGAAGGCGGGTCATTATGCAATGGCTGTGTCCAAAAAAAATAAATATGTATGTAGCTACCATTTATTTATATAACCCTCATGTCCATGATGATGTATGTGGGAACAGGAGCAGGAAGAGGTGCACTTAAATGTTGCGGTTTTTTTTTTCCAAATTTGTGGTATTGGTTGAGCTGGAAAAAGTATTTTGTGGTATTTCGCCAGGTGAAGCACACATGTATGATGGGCATGTTGTACAGTACATCTGTTTTTGTCTCTGTTGTATGAATATGGAGATTTTGTCGGTCTCAAACTTCAGATTCACAATCACTGCTTTTATTTGATATTTGCAATGTCAAATGTTTCACTCAGGGGAGAAATGCTTGTGGAGGCTCTCAGTCATACAGGAAAGTTCCATCGTAGAAAGGGTTCTGTCAGTCGTCATCTGTACCTGTGGGTAAAAAACAAAAAACAAAAAAAAAAGTCAGTTTTTTTTTTGGTTTTTTGTTTTTTACCCACAGGTACAGATGACGACTGACAGAACCCTTACTCAGGGGAGAAAAAAATGTGGGGATTTGGAACATCTGGCAGGAGACAAAATTGGCTCCTATGATGTCATTTGTATTCCAAACTGACCTATATAGAATCCCTTACTTGGCTCCGTCCTTCTAAGCGAGCTGTTTATAATATTCCACCACTGATGATAGTGTGAGTGCTTCTGTGCGTGCGCAAACGCTCGGGAGAGGAAGTAAGCGGTCAGGAAGACTTGGGTGGCCATGCACACCTGATGTAGCTTGTTAAAACTCATGATGTATCCGTGAGGCTGATGACCACATACGTGGGTGTGGACTTCATGCATTAAAAACTACACTGCACAATCCTCTTTATTCTGAGTGTGCTTATATATTCTTGTGTGAAGCTTCATCCAGCCATCCATCCATCCATTTTCCGATCCGCTTTATCCTCACAAGGGCCACGGGGGGCGCTAGAGCCTATCCCAGCTGTCCTAGGGCAGTAGGCGGGGACACCCTGAACCGGTTGCCAACCAATCGCAGGGCACACAGAGACAAACAACCATCCGCACTCACACTCACACCTAGGGACAATTTAGAATGTTCAATCAGCCTGCCATGCATATTTTTGGAATGTGGGAGGAAACCGGAGGACCCGGAGAAAATCCACGCAGGCCGGGGGAGAACATGCAAACTCCACACGGGAGGTCGGAGGTGGAATTGCACCCGGTACCTCTGCACTGTGAGGTCGAAGCGCTAACCACTGGACCACTGGCCCGCAAGCTTCAAACAATTTAAGAAAATTATTGATTACTCTCTGGAAAAAATACTGCAGTCTCATTAAGGGTGAACAAACAAATCTAAACATTGTGACAACAATGGAAGGAAAACTGAAGGTTTTACTACACGCCCCTATCTTTGTAGAAAGTTAAACTACATAATGACACTCAAGAGATTAAATGAATATAATGAGGTTAATTTCTAATTCGTAGCTGTTCTTACGAGCATTTAGTTAATACCTTGCGAACAAGTTTTTGGTGAGTGATGGGATACGTGTACCGTCAGGATACAAAAACAATAATAACATTGATCCCTTGCAGTTACAGGAAAAAAACCCACAATCAAATTGAAAGCAATTTATGAAAATTATGTGATTATTTAACAGGGCATTTTTTATGTGTGTGTGTGTGTGTGTGTGTGTGTGTGTGTGTGTGTTTGTGTTTGTGTGTCGGAGGGGAGGCAGGCTACCAGTTGATTTGAGCCATCGCCTGCATTCAAACTAACATGTCAGACAATCTTTCCCGGAGTTTAGTGGTTATGTGGTCACAATACATCTCAATAGACCACCATTGCTCATCACTGCCATTGCTCGACACTGGAAACGTTTTTTTTGGCCATTCAGGCAAATGACCAAAAAAAAATAAGTTACTCAATATGTGTTGGGCTGCCTAAAATGTGAAGAGATGGTGACTGCTTGGATTGTATTCAGTGTGTCCGAGCTGCTTATCCCCACAAGGGTCACGAGTGTCTTCAATCAGTAGGTGGGGTAAAGCTAGGCCCACCTGTACCAGCAGGCTTGCTAGGCTGAGCCCAGGGGCCTACAATAGTAGTAGTCGTAAAAGAATCAATTGGACTTATATATATAAAAAAAAAATCAATTTGTTGATTTTTCGGTCAATCACTTTTCAATGACATGAGTTGACCAACCCATTGAGCATAAGGATTGATGGTTGGGTGGGGGGGGGGGGCAGGCAGTGGTAGAGTGGGGATTGGGGGGGTGAGAGAAAGAGAGAGAGCGAGAGAGAAAGAACAATCTCCGCAGTGCACCAGGTAGGCCTATGTTCAAGAAGAGCACATGAAACACCCTTCACAAAATATGGTGTTGAAAACAGACTTATGGCAAATCCTAGCAATGTGTTTGTATGTACGTGAAGTCGAATGACACTGACACTACTTAGTGGGTATTGATGCACACCACCGAGGAACATCATCTTCGTCAGACGTGCCGTTGCACAAATTATATGAACTAAACAACTCACGCAAGAACATTTAAAAAATGTACTGTGATGGGAGATGGGGAGAACTAGAATGGTGAGTCCTTGCAATCACTCACATCCCAGATAGGGAAGCGGCGCTTGCAGGCACTTCCAACTATGAACATATTTCTCTCAAAGAACAAACTGCCAATAGAGAATCGTGGGAGGCGTTTCCCAGCATGCTTTGTTGCAGTTACGATTAACACGTGACTGTGTTATCATGTCTCTTGAAGACATTTTTATAGTACAGTTACAGTGGTGTTGCTTCTACTCATCCATCAAAGTACCCTATTTTTGTGCCCAGAGCACATCTAGTGAAAAGCACAGTCTAACTGTGTGTATGGGTAGAGTTTTCTTTCTTGTGGTATTTTTATACAAAGGGGTGTTTGCGCCGTCGTAGGAGGGAACACGGGAGTGAGGAGAATGATAATGCACCACTAATAGGTATGATTGAAGGGGAAAAATATTTGACCTAAGTAAAGGTTACAAAAGTGTTTCAAGGAGTTTTTGCATGGAAAATTTATTTTGAAACTATATATATATATATATATATTTCACTTATTTCAAAATGTTGGTTGTGTTTGCTTCGTGTGCGTAAGAATAAGAATCATAGGATCATCTTCATAAGAATGGTAATAGGTTGTGTATGCTATTCATTCGATTGTTTTTTTTGGTTGTGTTTACTAATTAATGAGCATTTGAATTTGCAGTATTGATTATTCTTACAGACACAACCACAATCACCGACACTGTGACAAAAACGTTTTTGCATCTTATGTTCTCCCATTTTCACCTCAATTCAAAGGTATCCAGAGTGGAATATAACTAGAGGGAGTCAAGTCTCGGCTTGCAGCCTTTGGTTTTGAGAAAAGCAGTGAGTGATATTTTGGGTTGAGAGGTCGGGCCTGTGGACCGAGGATAGAGGGTCTTTTGTACCCGGTGCTCCCTTTGCGCTCTGGTGTAGGTCATACATAGTTATTGGAGACATAGTAAACTGCGGAAAATAGTGAGACTCACCCAATCGAGCCATTTCATTGTTGTACATTTTGTTTTAACATAACTATTTTTTCCATAAAATCATAATGGACCACTTTTCTGGACATAGAGAAGACATTAAAGGCCATCCACACCATTGCACACACCTTTCTAATAAACCCACTCAGAAGGCCGCAGGGGGCTCCAATCCACTTCGACTGGCTTTATTTTGACAACTGAAAGGTCTTTTAGGAAAGCTCAGCAATGCTTTG